CATTCTCTCTCAAATAAATAAATAAAATCTTTAAAAAAAAAAAATATAACGACATCAACAAAAGGTTTTTAAAAACCCACACGATCACCTCAAGCGTTTGACAAAATTTAACACCCTTTTATGACAAAAACACTCAACTAAAATAGGAATAAAAGTACCTAAACATGACAAAAGCCATATATGAAACGCCCACAACAAGCATCACACTCAACGGTGAAAGACTGAAAGCTTTTCCTGAAGGATGAGGAACAAGGCAAGGATGTCCACTTTCACCATTCCTACTCAAGACAGTACTGGAATTTCTTTTTTTTTTTTAAGATTGTATTTATTTATTTGTCAGAGAGAGAGAGAGCACAAGCAGGGGGAGCGGCAGGCAGAGGGAGAAACAGGCTCCCTGTTCAGCAAGGAGCCTGACACAGGACTAGATCCCAGGACCCTGGGATCATGACCTGAGCTGAAGGAAGGTGCTTAACTGAGCCACCCAGGTGTCCCAGTACTGGAATTTCTAACCAGCTCAATTAGGCAAGAAAAAGAAATAAAAGGCATCCATATTGGAAAAGAAGAAAAATTATCTCCCTGTTTGTAGATGGTATGATCTCAAATGTAAAAAAGCCTAAAGATGCCACAAAAAGGGCATGGGAAACAGTATGATGGTGTCTCAAAAAATTAAAAATAGAATTACCCTGTGATCCAGGAATACTACTTCTGCGTATATATTCAAAAGAATTGCAAGTGGGGCCCCGAAGACAATCTGTTCACCCCTGTTCACAGCATCACTGCAATAGCTAAAACGTGGAAGCAATCCAAGTGTCCATCCACTGATGAGTGGATAAGCAAAACGTGGTACAGCAGTCACCCTTTATCTGTAATTTTATTTTCTGTGGTTTTACTTACCCACAGTCAACTGTGGTCTGGAAGCAGATGATTCTCCTTCTGATGTATTATCAGAAGGTGAACAGTGGCCTAACACTATGTCCCAATACCTACGTCACTCCGCTCACTCCATCTTATCACATAGGCCTATCTCACATGAGCCCAAGAAGGGTGAGTACACTGTAGTATTCTGAGAAAGACATTCATACTTTTATTATAACTGCTCTATTTTATTATTAGTTATTGTTAATTTCTTACTATGCCTAATTTATAAATTAAATTTTACCATGTATGTATGTATAGAAAAAAACATAGTGTACATAAAGGGTTCAGTACTACCCTTGGGTTTCAGGCATTCAGGGGGTCTTTTTTTTTTTTTAATATATTTTTAAAGATTTTATTT